AGATACATGCTTACGCCCTAGGAGGCATTCCTGATGACAAGCCACATAGAGCTACCCTGATGCAGTCAGAGCCCTAAAGCTGGAGGAGCCACATGGAGACCCACATCAGTGCTGAGATGCTTCTACTGCCACTGGATCCACAAGACTTTCCACTCACTGGCCTGTGATCTTCCTGCATTCTGCATCATTACATGTGTTTTGTGAGTCTGACGAGGACTTTAGAGATTGGTATTGGACATATGGGTTAATATCGGACTTACGGTCTTGATCTGGAGTGGGTTGGGATGTTTTCTCAGTATTCAACTGATTTTGTTTTGAAGCTTTTTCTTATTCTCATGAGTGTCTATGAATTTGTTTCTGTAGTCAACCCGGACTATCAGAGCTTATAAACAGAAAGATGCCAACAAAATTGTCTTTTGAACTTTAGATGTTTAAATCCTATGGTGAATCAAATGTAACAGACAAGAGAACACATTGAATCATGTGGCCAGTAATGTTTTCATCAGGAGGCAGGCCTATGCTGTACCCTGGTGTGCTTGCTACCCTCATGGGATATACAGTCTGGTAGAGGAGGATCTGGCCAAAGAGGCAGGTGGGGGCCAGATCAGAGAGGACTCTAAATACTATGGTGAGTTTGGACTTCATTTGAGGAGATGGGTGAAACCAAAGGGTGGGCTGGCTGGCTGCCACCTGTGTCCTTTGGAGTCTCACCCCCCGGTAGACCTCACCTAGGACCCCCGTTTCTGATTGAGCTTGCTTCTAGGTCTCATCATCTGAATGTGAGGTGAGTTGGTGACCATGCCTACAATGACAATGAAGGGTGTCATTAAGCAGCACCAGACGACAGGGAATGATGTGAGGACAAGATTCTTGACTTCTCTTCCTATCTAAGAGTAGAGGTGCTGAAGGTGGAGTGTTTCAGGAAAAAAGAAATGCATCCACAAGCCTCAGTGGTTAACACCTTACATATGGAAACCTCCCCCCCTCCCATCTCCCACCCCCTTCATCTGCGCCTTCCCCTTCTTCCCCCTAACTTACCGATAGAGCAGTCATGTCCGGTCCAGCTCGGGTCGCAGCTGCAAAGTCCGGTGTCTGGGAGGAAGGTCCCATGGCCTGAGCACTGGTCCAAGCACGTGGCTCGGGGAGTCTCGCAGTTGGTACCTCCCCATCCGACGGAGCAGTGGCACTCGCCTCTCACGCAGACACCCCGGCCTGAGCACGTGGGGTCCATACAGTCCACTGGGCAGCAGAGGGCAGACAAGAAAGGCCAGTGTTAGAACCAACCCCAGGGGACACTCCTTCAGGGGGACTACTCAGTGGCTCGTGAAGCAGCGAGGGGCACAGACAGGGATGATGCAGCAAAGGGCAGCAACTCTGGCAACTGAGAGACCTCGGCCCACCTCTATCCAGTCTGGCTTTGATGGAGTCATTTGAATCTAGTCTGTAAAGCGTGGGTTAAACCTCCTGTCTCATAGGCTCCTGGGGTGGACAAGGTAAGAAATCCATATTGCCCGCTCACCACAGACGCAGCGCATCTTCCCTCTGCCGTCATTACAACAATGGACTTTTCACCTCTGCCCAGCCCCCTTCCAGGACACGACCCGTCAGAGAGGGGGTGCTCTGTAAGTGTCTGGAGTTATTATTGTTCGCCAGTTCTGGAGAGTTTCATTTATATGAGCACAGGGACACATATGAAGAGATTTCTTACTTTAAGTGAAAACGTGTTTGGGCTCATCATCGCCCTGAAGTCCCTGTGAGGGATATAAACTCGCAAACCTCACTTCCAAACCTCAAATCCTTGTGATGGACAGAAACGTGCAGCGCTCACTTTGCGGAGGGCAAGCATTTGATGGCCGCGCCCCGGCCGCATGTGCTGACTTTGCACGGTCTTCTGACATGGCAGGGGAACATAGTGGCTGTAGCTCAGAGCCAAGCAGCCTCTTCAGGGCTCCGAGGGCCCAAGGTAAAAGTGGTGACAAGAGGCCAAGGCAGGGAGCAGGGGAAGGGTAATGGACAACATCTGTAGGGCACTTTCTTGTGCTTGCTGTGCACTAGGTGCTTGCCCCACGCTATCAGTTCTCCAGCCCAAGGGAGGTCCAGGCTGGGCAAGTGAGGCAAAGAGAGGCCAAGAATTGATCCCAGGTAGCATGGCCAACCATCAGGGAGCGATCTGGAACCAGGTCTGTCTGAGTCTGAGGCTGATTCTACTTCGGTGTCTGGGGCTGATTCTTCCAATTAAAGTTTCTGTTGTGAGCGAAACAAAATTAACCTCTAATTATCCACAAAGCACCCCTGAGAGTAGAAGGCTTTCAGAGAGGGTTAACTTATCGTGCGACCCTATTTCCATCGACAGTGCAAAAGGCCACTTCAGGGGAGATGGGGGCGGGGTGAGGAAAGGGCCAGGCCCTCTACTCTGCCAAAAAGCTGTTAGCACCTGTCTTTTGTTTAAGGAGTCTGAGGATTCTGCAAATTCTGTTAAGGGATGGGGGGGAGGGGCCACCCAACATGTTGGACAAAGGATGCTGACGGAGCTGTGCTGAGTGCAGCTGGATTCCCCCTTCCAGGGGTCATGAGGACGTGTTTATGCTGCAGGGGAAAGGGCTTCACATTTGGCCTGTGAGGACCGAGAGTCAAGGGACAAGGGACAAAAAAATCTGCAGGTTCTAGGACCGGGGTCAAGCCACATAACTTTGTTGAGCTTCCTATCAACAGAGCAGGCATGCAGAGAAGCCCCTCTCTTAGGGGCGGTGAGGCTTACATGGCAGAGAGAACTGGGCACCATTCGAAGCACCGTGGCCCAAACAGGGCTTCTTATTCTTCCACCAGGACGTACAGTACCATGACTTAGGCAAACTGCTGCCTGAGCTCAGTTGTCATTCAGACCCTCTTTCACCTTGCTTATGGATTCTTTTTGACAACCCGGTATATCTGTCTTCAGCAGTGACAATTGCTGGGACGCCCAGTCTGGGGAAGCCGAGTCGCTGGCACCAATGGGGTAGACTTTACAAGTAGCAAGCTTCTGAGGACGCTGACTTTGAGGGCCGTTTTATAAAGAATGTTTTTCCCCCTCCCCGACTATTTAGAGCTTTTATAGGGATTCAATGTAATGACATACGGGATAAAATACATAATAAAGATCAGGGTCCAGAATGACCATTTGCTAAAAATATAATGAGGATAAACAAAAACGTCATAATGGTAAGTGAAAAATAAAAAATATTAGCCTTCACTTACTCTTCTTGGTCAGAGAGTTGTCTATTAACGTGCATACACTGTTTCACTTCATGTGTACAACAGTGTTACGCGGATATGGAAAGCACAGAAAGGTGGGATAACGTGCCCAGAATCACACCCCCTGGTAAGTGGAGGAACTGAAATGTAAATCATTCTCTCCAGTGTAGACCTCTTGCCATTTCCTCTAGTCTTACTGGCTCAAACATGTACAGACACACATATAACTCATGTAGGTACAAACACATAATATGGTTTAAAAAAAGAGGTGAAAACAAGAAAAGAAGTGGAGAAGTAACAAAGTCAAACATAAACTATGTCTTCTATTGGAGTCTCTGGCCACCATTTAATCATGGCTGAGGCATGCCTGGTAACTTAAATAACAAAAATAATGACGATGGGTTTCATGACCTGCCTAAGACCTCAGAAGGATTATTCTGGCCTTTTAGGCTACTAACAGCAAACAACCAAGCCACCCCTTCCCCAAGGCTCACAAGGCATTTTCCATCCTATAAGTTTCAGTCCCCCAGCTTTGGGCTGAAATGGCCTCCGAGAATCCCGGGGTGCCCTGGATGATGGGGCCGATAAATGTCTGTGGCTAGCAAGCAGGTCAAGAGGCTGCCGAGTTTAGCAAGAGCCCCCTGGTGTCACACTCCTGCTCTTCCTCAGACATCACAGGTCCAATGGGGATCCCGGAACCAGCAAAGGTAAGGTGACCAGACGTCCCGCTTTTGGCGGGACAGTCCCGATTTTTAATAAATTTTCCCACATCCCGCAGCGTTTTAAAAAAATCCCGATTTTTGGAAAGAATGCACGACAAGCTAGGGTATACGGTTTTCAGCTGCCATGTGGCTATTTCGCCAGGATATGAATTTTATCAGTGGTGCCCCACTTTTGTCCCGCTTTACCAATGTTAAAATCTGGTCACCTTAAGCAAAGAGCATCCTGTGCTCCCAGCAGATGGTCCAGGCAGCGGACAGAGATCATAAGGAACAATGAGAGTCCACCTCCTGGCCAATATTAATCCAGGCTTCTGAAGGTCACCTTGGGAACAGAGAGTGTGGAGCTGGTGGGGAAGGGTTTTCAGAAGACGTCTCAGACACGGAAGCCTGAGCTAGATTGGCTGAGATCCCTGTGGGGAGATTCCTATGGGCATTTTCTCTGCTCCCTCCCCAAGAGCAGACACCCTGAGTCAACCCTGCCTCTCTGGGGTCTCTGGGTGACAGAGCCCTAGGGTGGGGTGGAAGTTGGCTCCTAGTGCTGTCCCAGCGTGGTTTCTGGGACCATATTTATTTCTCAGGGGGCTGTGCAGAATGTGGGGGAAGGCAGCGGGTCTGGGGTGAAGGGTACCACGGGGAAGGGGGCAGGGGTGAAGCCGCTGAGGAGGTGGGCTGCGTTCTGTTTAGAGGACGGTCTTCGCTTTCTTCTTAAAAGGAGGGCCAGACACAGGTACAGTGCCAACGTGTCTGGCAGATGCTTAGCCCATCACTACAACCAGGGGGCCTTTGTGGCCATGCCACAAACAGCCCCAACGCTGGAAGTGTCACTGGCTACACAAGTGATGAGATGCTCCCTGGGACCCAGAACATACTCTCCGGCCCCCTCCTAACTCCCTCCAGAAGTCTTGCTGGCTCAGTACAAACTTAAAACAAAAGAATGGGGCAATAAGCTTCAGAAGGAGGAGGCAGAGAGAGAAAGGAGGTCGAGGGGGTGGGGGTGGGGCAAGGCAAAAAGTAAGCTGGTTAAGCTGCTGTTTTATAAACACCAGGAAACCCCGTGGGGCAGAGCTGGGGAGGGGTGGGGGGAAGGGAAGAGGTGGGCAAAGGCCCCAGAAAGCTCCATCATACACGCAAGGGATATTTGGTGACATCCCCCACAGAAAAAGAAATAACAAAGGGAATCAATACCACATGGCCCTTGTCAGCCTGAGTGAAAACACTTCTTTTCAGATAGATAACATAAATCAAAGCTTTCCTCCCTTGGTAAATAGCGCTGCAGCTCCAGGGCCCTGTGCGGACCAGCATATCTGGAGAAGGGATCACCAGGGGCTGAGGGTGGGCGAGCCCCCAGGCTCCAGCGCAATCTCCTGTTTGGATTTTTCTTCACCTCCAGTGACTGCAGAAGAACAGGGAAGCAGACGAAGGTCACCCAGGTCAGGATCAGAAAGCCAGGCCCCTTTGTTGGCTGGGCTGGCCGGTGGCTTCCCTCAGACACCTAGTCATCCCCATCAAAGTGAATGGGTCTGAATCAGGAGCTTCCAGTCACACGTGGGGGCTCCACAGCCTGTCTTGGAGAGGCCATGCTTTGGGGACATTAATCCCTTCTTGTTCCCCACTCTTTGAAAATGGGCCTTTTACATTTTCTCTCTCTTTTCAGAGAAAGTGATGCCTGATGGCTATCTGTTCATTCCACGTGGGCTCGGAGGGCTAGCTCTTGGTGGAGCCTGAGGCACTCAGTAGGGACAATGCCATATTGTCCCCGTGAGTGACACACACAGGAGAATGGGAGGGACAGGCCAGCACACTGAGTCATCTGCCAGTTTCAAAGCCAAAGCCTGCCCGTTTCTGAAGACTCTGGGTAAAGTGAGTGGCGTCCAAGAGGAACTGTACTTCGTTGGTCCCCAGAACAGGACTCTCAGTACTATGGACAACACAGCAGTCCGCGCATTACAGATGAGTGCCTTTCTTAAGCCTGTCTGTGTGCACGCTGAAACACCCATGACCTCAACTCTGACGGCTGTGCTCTCTGTGGGCGAGGCTCCTCCTCACCTGCAGACTCCACGCAGCCAAGAAGCAGAGTGCTAGACTTGAACTAAAGAGCCCCACACTGCAAAAGGCATTTATAGAGCTACAAATATAGGCATGCACATATGTAAATATAGATGTATTAATAGGGATATAGGTCTATAGACATATATTTAAATATTAACTACTAAGGTAGCAGACAGGCATTGGGTCTCTACTCAAGTACTCTCAACACTTTGTTCTAATAACCTGGCATTCTGTGATGCCAACCTTCCTGACACGATCGCTGAAGTCAAAATGGGTGCTTAAGCAAATGTGGTGAAGAAAGCTGATGGTGCCTGGCTATTAAAAGATACAGTGTCTGGGGTCTTAGAGCCTTGAAAGGGGGCCATCCAGCAGAGAAGCAACAAGCTCACATGGAAGAATCATACTAGTCGGGGTGATCATGAGCTATCAACAGGAACAGGTATCAGGCATCAGAAGACCCCAGACAAACAAATATATTTATGCAAATGATGGGGGTCGAGAGGAGACCCAAAGCCCATCTGTAGACAACTGGACATTCCCTCACAGAAGGGTTACAAGGAAGGAATGAGTCAGCATTCCTCTAGTTCTTTAATACTTCCTCCCACCTCCCACCCTCCTCCCACCCCCCCACTAATATGACTCCAGTTCTATCTTACAAATCTGGCTAGACCAGGACATTTACACTGGTGCAGATAAGAACTGGAAACACACGGAATCCAGGACAGATCAACCCCTCAGGAACAGTTGTATGGGAGTAGTGATACCATGAGGGTTGGGAGAAGGTGGGGGTGGAGGGAGAAGGGGGAGAAATGGGGAACTGACTACAATGATTGACACATTCCCCCGCCCCCACCAGAGGGATGAACCACAGAAACGTGAGCCAAGGGAGAGAGTGGATGGTGTAAACAGGGGTCCTCAAACTATGGCCACGGGCTACATGTGGCCCGCCGTGGACATTTATTCGGCCCACCGGGTGTTTTGCCCTGTTCGTTTTTTTACTTCAAAATAAGATATGTGCAGTGTGCATAGAAATTTGTTCATAGTTTTTTTTAAAGTATAGTCCGGCCCTCCAACGGGTCTGAGGGACAGTGAACTGGCCCCTGTTTTAAAAGTTTGAGGACCCCTGGTTTAAGATAT